ATTCCACACTTTCGCATGACACCTTACTAGAAATTTTACAGTTTGTATATGACATCAAAGACATACAACAATTCCTGTTAATTACACAATTTTAACTGCATCAGCACTTCCCGAGTACTATTGAGTTCACTTCCAAAGTACTACAGAACTCAAACTTTCAATCACTTCAAAAAGTATATTTAAAATATGTGACGTACTGTAATATTTTGAATTTTTGTTTTTTGTGGACGACAGAAAAAAGGGGATTTCAAAAAACCAATGTCTTCAAAATAAAAATAATAAATCAGCATACCAGTTTCAGGTTAAAATGTGTTTTTAACAACCTTGCATTCAAATGAAAGTGTTGATTATCCTTGTTTTATGAAATTAATGGCCATAAACCTTCCTGTTTTCAGATTTTTTTTAAAACATGACATGCTTAATTGCATATATTAAATCAGTTTGGGAACATAAATCCAGCAGATGATGGTAGAATACTGTTGCACAAAAAACGACAGAATTGATGAAATCAATTTTCTTTAACACTTTCTTGCTTGTTTCCCAACAATGTCCTTCTCTAAGAAACACCCAGAATTGAAAAAGATGTGTTAGAATCTGTCCGTGTTTTTGTTTTAATTTCATGAACAATGAGATGTAGGAAATTTACAAAGAAATTAAAATGAATACTGTTTATTCATTAAAAGTCGTCGACAAATTATCTGTATTCAAAAATGGAAGCCACAACACTTTCTCTTGGCATGTACATATGCCTTTATATAAAAAAATACTGTTTCTTTTGCCAACAAAAACAAGACTACAAATAAGAGGCAACAAAAAAAAAATCATAATTTTGTTTCAACATTACAGTACTTCATACATTATCAGACAATTTTAAGAGATAAAGTTTTCTTAGATTAATGATAAGATATGTTTACTTTAGAATTACTTTTTATTTGAAGAGTCAGTTGCCACTGATGAAAAGCATTTGGTCTTTTTCTAGACCATTTAAAAACTTTTTTCAGGAAAATTTTAAAACATGGATTCAAATACAATTCTGACTAGTTTACTGTGCATGCAATGAAAGCGACAACTTTTTTATATTTAGCTAAGCTTTACAAGTTACGACTTGTCAACTTTATACACAACCATTCCCGACGGTAAATTAAAGTTCAGGATTTTTTATATCATTGACAGCTGCTTTTGAAATAGAAATGGAATCGGTAAATTGACTTACCTTGTCATTGATCATTTGCAAAATTATTTTGTTAAAAACCATTCTTATTTTACACACAAGTCATACTTTTTTGTTTTCAATACATATTTCTTTATAGAAATTGTTCAAACGTACAGCATGTTCTTACGTATTGAATCAAATGAGAGGTATAAACCCCGTATGCAGGTGATGAGGGTATTTTGCTGCATAAGTAAGGGACGTTGACGACTAAAAAGTCAAAGTCATCACGTTTATCATAAAGCTTGGTTGTTAGATTACCATTAACGTCTTTTTCACGTGAAGTATTTAGATATGAAACAGATGACAGATTCTGAAGTATCTTTTACCCTAAGCTCACCGGAATATACGTCATATCAACATAAGAATGTAAAGAAATTTACAATAGACTGTTGGAAGACATGGTCTCCAAAAACTATATAGATATTGACAATGAGAAACTCAAGCATATCTTAATATCATCTTCAGAGTAATTGTGTGTACGATCAGAATGTTTTTAATTAATTAATATTTGAAATGACAAGTGACCGATCACTGTACCTCATTCGGTAGAGCGATTGCCGCGTGATCAGGAGGTCATGAGTTCGTAACTCGGCCACAATTGACCTAAGTCGGTAAAAAAAAAATCGACAGCAACTATTCTTTCGCCATGCGCTCGGAACTTGAAGTGAAAGTTGCAGATCCTTCGGATAAGACCTTAAAAATCGAAGTCCCTTGTCCCGCGATATAGATCCCTCACTGCTCAATGGCCCTCGGTGAAGAGTTAAGGTCAAAATTTGAATCCCTTCACCGAGTTTGAAATTCTCGAATGGGAAGTAAAACAACATACAATCAGTCAATTACCTGACCAATGAAAACGTATGTAAATTTACGAGTTCAATATATTTGCATTTATAAAGAATTCGAATTCGATCACTATCCGTTATCTTCGTTATCTTCAGCTTTCATATATATATATATATATATATATATATATATATATATATATATATATATATATATATATATATATATATATATATATATATATATATATATATATATATATTGAAACAGAAATCAATCCACAGTGCTCTGCATATACAGGTAAATCTTTTTAAAAAAAGATTTACCTATATATTTAAGGAATCACTGTCTAGTTTGATAACTATGCCAGGGCATCAACAATAGTTTCACATGGGATAATTTGCATAACGGGCGAAGCCCGTTATGCATTCCTCCCATGTTTCCCATTATTGTTGATGTCCCTGGCATATGTATATAACTAGACATGATTCCTTATATTTCCATTTCATTGTGAAATAAAATCATATCGACTTTAAAAATGTAGACATAGATTTAAATTACACGAGGACTGCCATGTTTACAATAGTTCGTCCACTGACGTAAACACAAATGCAGCCGCATGAGAAATGCATAGGCTGGCCTTCTTTTGTCAATAAATGCGCAAGATTTGCATGCGTATTCCTCCTTAGCTCCTGACCTAAAGACCTGCCTAATTTACATTCCGGTATAGCTCCGCTAACTTTCAAAGAGTTATCAAAGAGAAAAAATGAGCAATGGAAATATATATATATATATATCCCAGTGAACTTGAAATAAAAGTAGAGTCTAGCATATCTGTTCCATATATGGGTATTTCAAAAAAAAATTATGTAAATGGTAATCTAATATCAATATTTTTTTATTGTCAGCCTCCCTTACTAATGAAGCAATATACAATGTACTTTATCATCTGTTTATGATATTTATGTCTTCAAGGACGTGTTTTTAGGTACGAACAATTTCTAAATCGAGTCAAACTATTCACAAAAACATTTATCAATTATATCAACAATCTTGTTTAATCTTGTTTTAAATTTTCATTTCGCAAGTTCTTTCTGACAGAAGGTCGACTTTTTCAGGATTTGTTAAGCCATTACTTACATGGCATCATTTGGCACCTGATCCCACCTCTGATGTTTTGGAGGTCCGTGTTTACTCTGCTCCTATTTTGTATTGTTTTATGGACTTTTGATCTTGAATACTATTCGTTATCTCCATATCTTTCATTACACACTGATCTTTACACATAAATCTACGAAATTTTCCGTTTTGTTCGAGCACATTGCGGAAATGATTTGTCAACGGGGGACGTTTACTTTTCAGTCGCAACTAAGCCCACCTTTACTCTGCTCTTAATTTGTTTTGTTTGAAGGAAATTTTCAGCATGTTACTGTTCATTATTTTCAAATTTAAGTAAGAAATTTTCCTCAAAATTAGCCTACTAGTAACGTTTCTAACTATTTCAGAGTTCATGTGTTGTATTACAATCATGTTTTGTAGAAGAAATAAGAGAAAATATTCAATGATAGTAAATATTTAATGCTTTTATATATTTTCTCAAAAATGAAAAAGTACATGACTTGTAAATAAAGGACGGAACATTCTAAATTTCCATTTTCAATATTCACTGAAATACGAACGCAAGCAAGACCACGGACACCTTTGGGGTATAAAAAGGCGTAAACTGCAACTTTTTGTGTGACAATTTTAAGCAACCAAGACATTTTTGTGTATCATTTTTCTGGTTTCTAAAATTCATTTAAGGTAGGATTCTTCTCTGGTTTCTGACTAGATGAAACATTCAAAGTATATTTGCTTATATGTCTTATATATTGAGGTGTAAGGGATTTAAAAGACCATATTTTTCTTTCCTCATCACAGTTGTACGACTTTAAATAGAAATGGTAAACTGCGTTTGAAAAATAGCAGGGACTATATTTTTGGCGGATTGGTGGCGTATGAAAATATCTTCTTTTCTGTCTCTCAAAATTATAGAACAATATATATTTATTGTTTTATGGATTTTTACACAATTGAATACAATTCGTTATTTTCATATGTTTCATTACACACTAAGATCTTTACACATTTATCAACGAAATATATCAAATTTGTTTGATATGATTTTGCACATTGCAGAAATGAGAACTACGTTTACTTTTAAAAGCCCACCTTTACTCTGCTCCTAATTTGTTTTGTTTGAAAGACATTTTCAGCATGTTCTCTCTTATTTTCAAATTTAAAACATTTTGCTTTTGTTAGCCTATTAGTAACATTTCTAACTATTTATTATGTGTTGTATTAAAATGTTTTGTAAAGAAAAAGTTAAATATAGTGTTATAAAAATTTAATGCTTCAATATATTTTCTGAAAAAAAAAAACATGACTTGTAAATAGTGGATTAACCTTAATTTCATTTTCAATATTAATTATTTATGTAAATTTGGTAATATCCCCCTAAAAGTTACAAGGTTAAAAGGAGAACGATATACCCCCCCCCCCCTGGTAAACGTGATATGTGTGAAATGGGTATGAAAAAGAAAGATTTTAGGAACTTTTGAAATAGAAGTAGCTTCCCACCAACGGCAAATAGTTTTTTATTCTGGGGTAATGTCCCCCCCCCCCCCCCTGGAAAAAAATGACCTTGACCTGCCTTGCCTCTATATATAAAACGGTCAAATTTAAGACCACGGACACCTTAGTGATATTGGCGTAAACTGCAACTTTTTGTGTGACAATTTTGAGCAACCAAGACATTTTTGTGTATTATTTTTCTGGTTTCTAAAATTCATTTAAGAGGTGAAATTAAAACTGAAATCAATAAATCGGTAACATTAAAATGCATGTACAATGCAAGAACAATGATGGCAATTAAATTCAAACATCTTTTTTCAAAATGAAAAAGAAATTAAATATGATCAACAAAAAATGAAGTAAATTCTTGGTAACCTTCTACACGGAAGATCATTTGTTAATGATGTTTTCTTTCAAAGCGTTTGAAAAAGTTAAAAGACAAAATAAAAGATCGAAGAAAATTAGTACGACGGAAACCTTTGGATATAAAGGCGTCTTTATATATATTTCTTAGAAGTTAAGTTAAAACAGCCAGCAAACATAAAACTTCAATTAATACTCATTTAACACAAACCGGAAAGGTAAAATCATGTTTTGACGATCTATAATGAGGTATTCACTTTTATGGCACATCAATGGCTGTCGTCACTCTCTAGCGGTCATTATGACGTAGACAACTTCCGCATTTCCTCCGCCTTATCATGCTCTTTAATGACGCATGAAGCTGCCTATTTAAAATACTATGAAGTAATGGGTTTACGACAACCGAACACATCCCAATAGTCGCAGTCACAACCAATAGATGCGCCTGCGCTTTTGACGGGTTCCCATTCCAAGTTCCTAGTACAGTGAGCGGAAGTGGCATCCAAAGACAGATAAACAACACAATCATAATTGCGATACGTTTAGCCGCCCTTGCTTCTACTTTTCGTTTTCCGAGTTCCTTGCTTTTCGAGTTCATTACACAAACTGAACCTGAGTAGTTAGTTTCTTTTTTGGAAACTCTATTGACCTCACCAGTAATGTCAAATATTTGTATAAGGCTGTCAGTGTTAGCACCATCGCTTGCATTTTGTTGATGAAACGTTGTTGTTTTGTTGGAGCAGGACGGTGTAGCGTTGGTGAGAAAGACCTTTAACGTCTGATCTGCAACTTGATTTTGTTTTAAGCTAGAACCATTTTCGCACACTTTATCAGGAGATTGTTGACTTTCCATTTGTTTGTTTTCATTTTCTTCCTTTTTAGATACAACTGTTTCTTCCAAACATTTTTCATTTCTTCTTATTTCTAATTTATTTTCTTCATTATTTTCTTCATCATTTTCTTTGTCATTTCCTAATTCATTCTTCTTTATATTTTCTTCTATATTATTTGATTTTGCCTGAGGTGCTTTAACAACATCTAGTCTCGATTTTTTCACAGCATAGTTATCTACAGGTTTATCATGTTTTAGTATAGATGTGGTTTTAATATCACGTCGCTCTACTGTAACCAACTTTTTATCTGTATTCTCATGTTGAACCGTCTCAGTTTTCTGTGTGTCATCAGTATTGTTTTTGCGGTCGAGGTTTGTTTCACAATATTTGCTTGACTTTTCCACATTAGTAACGCTAAAGTGAAGGGGTGTTCTTGGAAGGATACTTGACAAATCTGTGTTACTAAATGATTTATCCACCCCTTTGAAATCTTCATTCATCATGTGTGGAACTACTTTGTTTTTTCTATGAACAGTATGGCCTATCATTCTCTTTCTATGTTTGAAAAGAGTAAACATAATTAGACCATAAAATACAATGATAATTAATAAAGTCCCAATACCAAATGGAAAAATCAAGTATAAATCATGTGTTCCCCAGGAGAAATGGTTTGATGTCGTGTTTATCAGACACTTGTCGTAGAGTGGCGAATCCACAAAGATAAAGGCCGATAACAAACTTAATCCGCTGGCCAGAGTCCACGACAAACCAATCAGAAGCGCCGTTCTCTTAGCGCGTCCATCTTTTTTGAACGGACTCGAAACGCACTGGAATCTTTCATAACTAACAATTACGAGCATAAAGAGTTGCAAAATGTCACAAAAAGTCCTGAAAAACACTGCAGCGCTGCATATGGTGGCCCAGTTCACAGTTGATAAAGAGGCTGTAAAGAGATACACACGCAGCGGAAGTAGAGTGACACACGCGATTAAATTACCTATCAAGGCGCTCATTAAAGTAGCGTTGATGAATGTCCGAAGAGAACGAGTTTTCAGAATACAAACACAGAGCAGTGTATTACCAATAATTCCCAGTACAGCGGCTAGAATTATCACGACGTCACAACACAATATCACCATGTCTGTATCAAATAAATATTTATCGTCTGATGAATATGTGACGTCATTATGAAAAGTAACGTTAACATTCATCATATGCCGACGGTCTTCACTGTTTTGATGTTGTATCCAAACAATTCCTTAGAAGTGTTTTGACGTCATCACACGGGTTCTACCTGTAAAGAAATTGTAAAGAAATTGAATTCTTTCAAAATGTCAAACAATATCGTGCATACAGCAATGCCCTTCTATTTCTATAGTGTTCCAATTCAGCTGTAACATCAGTTAAACCATTTTGTGATTTCAATCTCATTATTGATTAACAATCAAAAAGGACGTGAATTTCTATGCAAATGGTCACCTAGTAATTACCTAACAAGCCATGTGTACCAGCAACACATATTAAGTGCTTGTTCAAATACTCTAGTCATTAAAAGAGGCATATCAAAGCACATCAAAACATCGGTGTTTTTGGTCCTTTATTTGCTCTACTTCTCAATTTTCAGGAATAAGGCGATCGATTGACAAATTGAAGCTCGATTACAGTTTCCGTTATTTGATAACATCGCAGTAAAGTTTTATTCACAAATGGGTTAACGTCTTGTTAAGAAGTCATTCTCTTACTTAGATTCATATTGGCCAAGTGATATTGCTAAACACATGCGGTTGCTTTATTTTTAAAATATGAACAAGCACTAGTGTACGTGTCTTCCTTGATTTTAGTTTCACAATTCCTTTAAAAGTCGAGCAGTTCGTTGTGATAATTTTGAACAAATAATAAATGTATTAAAACACTTTTAGAAAAATAAACATCTTAAATAAATGTCATCTGGTTGAAAGTTTCTACTTGTTTTCACTGATACTACAAAATTGTTATTTCTATTTAAGGTTAGTTTACTTAAACTTCTCAATCCGAGTAAAAATGGTACGTACTTCACAATTATCTTTTCAATTTTCTCAAAAACCAATCAATTTTAGTTCCAAAGCAGGAAAAAACGATTAAATATCATTTACTAATACGTCCATAATTGATATTTATAAAAGATTCGGCTTTGTACAAGATATTTTAAATCTATTTTTAAAAAACTACTTAGTTAAAGACAATGGCATCAAATTTCAAACCTGAATAACAATGTCGCCATTATACTTCCATCCTCGGGGACTCGGTTGTTCAAGAAAAACAACAAGTAGAGCTTGTATGCTTAATGGGAAATAAAACCCAACCGCAGCAACATCATGACCATAAACCAGGACATTTTTTTTTTATTACGAAAGCATGCTTTATAATTATGACGCAGAAAAATTATAAACTACATTAAAACCTTGATGTATTTGCAAATTTGAACGAAAACAGCCTGGGATGTACTACACTGATTGCAAAATAGTTTCCTCTACTATAAACAACCTATCTTTAACATGAAACATATAGAGATAACGAACAGTATTCAAGATCAAAAGTCCATAAAACAAAACAAAACCGGAGCAGAACAAACACGGACCACCAAAACATAAGAGGTGGGATCAGGTCCCAGGTGCCAAGATATCCCATTATGATACTGCATTTTGACCTGAATAATAAGGTAACTTCAAAAGTTTTATTTAATCATTATGAAATATAATATTTCAAAGCAAAGTTATACACTTTTTTTATATTCAAGATTTAACCTAATGACTTTTCAAGGAAAAAATAAACATAGGACATACTAGAGGTACTGTGAGCACTTAGCTCACTTATTATATATAAATGATACCCCCGCCTCCCATATGATTATAATGGTGAAGCTAGCCCAAGATTTGCCGTATGATTATAATGTTGAAGTCCATATTTTGGGAGACCCGAAATAAGTGTCAGATAAAATTTTGAAATAGAAGGTGCACAATGGCATTTTGTAATAAAGTGTATGTGAAAGTATTATTAATTTTATTCAGTTGTGTAGAAGGAGTTGGGACAAGAGATGGGAACCCTTCAATATTACTGAAAAATCATAAAAATGGCAGTGTCAGTGTTTCTCTTTTGGAAACCCGAAATATGTTTCCGTTTAAAAAGTAAAATAGAAGGTGCGCAATGTCACTATGTAATTAAGAATCTATGAATATCATTCAGTGTTAGAAGAGGAATTGCGGATAAGAAATTGGTACCCCAAAGCGTAACAGACGGACGGAAGTACTGACAGACGGACGGACATCCGATCACCATATATCCTCCCACTTTTCAAGCGTGGGATATAAATTTTAGTAACATGTAAATGCGGTATATTAAACACAATCAATAAATAATGCAGAAAAAACTTATTGTTAATTAAATATGAAAAACATCCAACAAAAGTAAAACAATACTATGTAATACTAAATCTTATCAGAGAAATAAGTATGTAGCGAATTGTCTTACTTTCTGAAACAAGGACAAATCCGACTCTGATACAATATCAATATCTCTGCATGATATTCATATGTTATAAAGATCCAAAAGCCACAACCTACATAACATGCCAACGCCCCTATTGGATTCTTCTCAAGACAAAACAAAGGCTGAAAATATACCCGAACAGCATACGAGAGCGCTGAAATAGAGCTATGTTTAGCTAAGCCTCAGGCGGGCAATAAAATACCATTTTTGTCGTCAAATCTGAAACCGTCAGACCTAGAATTGATCTAACCTTTATATCGTGAGGTATGTTTCCGTGAATACATCCAATAAATTTTTTTTGTATGTCTTTGCAAAAGGACTTAATAACAGTATTGTTATATCGATGTTAATATAATGTATAGATTGGCAGTAACGTCAATTTATGAAAAGTCAGGATAATGAATTAGATATAGAACTCAAAAAGATGGTTATTTTTTTAAGTACTTTTTTATTACCTATGTCATGTAACAAAATGTGAACTTAGTTTTAAAATGCCTAGCAAATAAGCGAAGATTTTTTTCAAAGCACTCGCTTCACAGGCTTTCCATGCCTTTTTAATATCTAATCTTTAATGGGTTTTCCATCATTATAAGTATTTAAATACCTTATAATCATTAGCATATAATCTATCAAAGTCAAAAAACAAAATTGTACTGCGAAATCACTAATTTTCTTGAAGGTTTTATTTTCGTGGTTTTCGAGACATGAAGAGACTCACTACTAGTAATTTATAAAATGAAACCCCATGAAACCCCATGAAACTCCGAAAATTTTACCCCTCCAAAATATGTGATTTTACAGTAATTTATCTAACTGTATTTTATACCAGAAATCAAAGGCCTTCTGTATTGGAATTTGCATGAATTTCCGTAATAAATTTTTGGTATTTCTTCTTTTTGATCTTGTAAATTAAAACAAAACCCTATTGTAACATAAGCAAGTGTCTAAGACAAGTAGTATGACATTTACAAAAAGCTATATCAAGTAGATAAATATAGTTCAAACATGATTAATCCTGGAATAAAACGCAAGATTGTAAATAAACATTGTTTATATTTTTTATCAATGCAGTTTGTAATATCTAGCTAAGATTTTGACACATGATAAATAATTAAAACAAAAATTGTTTTATTTTCATTATGCAGTTTTCATAATACAGTTTTACTGTCTATGATTAATATTGTGAATTCTCTCAAAATGAAGTTCAATTTTGCTTTGAAATTCCTATCTTGCAATACTGAGAAATCAATAAGTTTTTAGGAGGGTTAAATTTTGTTGTTTTCGAGGTTTGGAGAAAAAAGAATTTATAACAATCAGAAAATGTTTTTATTTCACATGCAAAACTAGTAAACATTTTCCAACTACGAAATGAAGACACAACAAACTAGTATATTTTCCTCAAATCTCGAAATTTTGACCCCACGAAAAGTTTTGAATTTTCAGTAATTAAGATCGAAGTTAACATATTTTTTTCTTTCTTTTATTACTAAGTTTAATCACCTGATTATGAAATAACTTTACAAACCGATTAGGGAAAACCCAGGTTTTAATAAAGATGTATGATTAACACTTAATAAAGAAATTGATTATGATATATGATCATGACTGGCTGATGGCAAATATGTTTTATTTCAAACTGCTGATGCATTGTCTACTTTTCATCTTCATATTGTGAAAACAGTTATTTTCATCGGTTTATCCTGAGGTCGTATCTATTGTGGAATTATAATAGACTCGTAATTTTATGTGCCGCAAAAAAAAACATTAACATTCAAATTCAAGACATTTTTACACTTTTTTCTGCCAAAAAATAAAAACTCATCAAACATACATATTTTTACTAAAGGAACAAAAAATCGTATTTAACAGTCTTCCTTGTAGTTGGCTTAGAAACTTACTTTCGACTTCTTTTTATACAAAATTTAATTTAAAATGTATAGTTAACATTAAGGTAACAAAGCTCTGCCATTACGAAAACAATACTAGTAATAGAACTTTCTCCTGAACGAGGTTGGCTCTTGATATTTAAAGTCAAACTTTTTTGTCAAGTATATTTCCACTTTCTACACACATAGCTCAATTTAAAATCAAATCGAAATATGGGGGTCAATATGCTTCTTTTTGCTTCTTTTTGCGCCACAGCACATTTAATATGACCTTTTTGCGCTGAAATCTGTGTCTTAAGAAAAAATTACATCTTCAACGTTTTCCTTCCAATATTTTTTATCCTAATAAAGCATGAAACAAATTAAACTATAAGTCTATTTAAAAAAGACACTTTAAAATTGTGCCTAGGAAAATTGCTTCGAATATTCAATTATTTGTCCTTTCTGCACTCACAAAATGTGATTTTTTTGGCATTGAAAATTTAACAAACAAGAAAATTATTGTAAAGTCTTAAACTTTTGCCGAATTTAAGCAGATGATCAAAATTATCTTATATATTCAGAACAGAACATCAAAAGTGGGGGTACATGATGTATATTTTTAGATATTATTGAAAATGTGTCAATTTTATGTTAAAATTGGCTCAATTTTTTCCTGGACTTTTAAAAAACATTCCGCCAGAAAAGATAGTTCCTGGCTTAATCCTTCTTGCATTGTAGAATCTAAAATCAATGTTAAAACTTAAAAATGATACAGAATTTTAGAAATAAAGGTCCACACCAAAAGTGACTCAAAAGCACAGGATCAAACGTCCTTAAGGAAAAAAAAAACTTTTTTGTGTTTTTCATATAAAATTTTTAATCATCATTAGTTGTCAGACACACATGATGTGCGAAATGGCGATTAGAAACGAAGTCTTATACCCGATACTCTTGCCAGGAAATTGTCTGACAATGTGTCTTAAGATATGATATTCCTGGAGCTGCTAAATGAACTCATCATTCTCAGGTGACTGTTGTTTTTATTAAAAATTCTCAGGTTCAGTTCCACTCTTTATCCTAGTAGATACAGGTGACAATGATTTCGTCCAACTAATTGGGTTTTTCCACATTTCTATACCAACATTTACTGGACAATGTTATGAGCATGTTTTTTTATAAATTATATTATGTAACAAAATAATTCTAAAGCATGATGCTTTGTAAGACCAAATTATATAACTCAAGGACTGTGCAAAAGTTTTAAATAAATTATTTAAGATTTGTTTTAAATTTAAAATTGGAAATTCTTAAATAAATATCCTTTGCATATTAATATATTAATGACGATTCAAAAGAGGGCTGATATGGTCCAAAAAGGCTGGAAAAAATATCAAAACAACATTTGTAATTTTTGCATGTGAATTTACTTTTTTGCTATCTTGTAAATTCTGTATAGTATGTGCAATTTTTAGGTTAATGGTTCAGAAAAAGATGAGCACTGACGTAATTTTCAAAGAGTTCTGGGAATTGAGGTTCCTGCAAGCGACATCGTCGGACGGCTTCCCAGCGTACGGGGGTATAATCAATGAGTCTGGATATGGTTTGGACCCTCCGAGACGAAAGATGTCCAAAAGTGAGAAAACATAAGCAGCAAAGAAGTTTTTCAATTGTACAAGACATTTAATGACAGTTCCACCTCAACACAAAAAGGGAAGATCAAGGAAGAAAATGCTTGTCATCCGTTAAGAAATGTTAAGGATGTAGGTCGACGTTAAACTACGTGTATTAATCTCCTCTTACAATGCAAGGTAACCGTCCGAGAACTGATTTTTGAATTCATTTAAGACCAAGAAAGACAGTGATGTATTTGAATCCGTCTTTAACCATCTTTAAAAAAAGACGTGTTGCCCTCATGGGTCGGTTATTTAAAAAAAATGTTTCTGGCGCTATAAGAGATGGATTTAACATTTGCTTTCACCCAATAACGTACGTTTACCTGATTTTTTTTTTGTTTCAATTTTTCATTATATCTCCTTTTTAAACGTTTTATCATTATGAAAACTGAAATTGTCATCATTAAATGCTGATGTTAAATATGCTTAGAAAAGAATAATTATTCACATAGAGAAATTAAATTGTTTTGCCCTTTACGACCTTGTAAGCCTGAACGTACTTTAATAACGCAATTAACAGTTTATATCTAAGAAATGTCATACTTGCAATCTTTCAGATGAACTTTTTATGAACTCGAAGAAATCTAGACGATTTAATTGAGTCTATAACGGTCAATAACTAGGCTGTACTGTCCTTGATGTAACTTATATCATTGAAATAAATATAAATCTACAATATTGCGCTTGTATAGAGACATCGACAAATGCCTGTGTAGAGCTTCAAAAACCTGCACTGTAAACCTATACTAGACACTCAGAGCCATTGATCAGTGCAGGTTCTTTATTGTGCCAACGCCTACCGTGACAAGGGACCTTGGTTATTAAGGTCTCATTTGTATTTCATGACATTTACTTCTGCAGCTGAGGCGGGCTTGATGAAGGAATAGTCACGATTCATTAACCATGTTTTAGATCTGACGAGGCGCCTCGGATGAGAATTGATGGGAATCAAACCCAAGTCTCCCGATGGTAATCCTCATAAAGAAGCCAATGAACAGAGAAGACAAAAGTAGCCTATGAACAGACTAGACGTAAAGTATCCAATGAACAGAGAAGACAAAAGTAGCCTATGAACAGACTAGACGTAAAGTAGCCAATGAACAGAGAAGACAAAAGTAGCCTATGAACAGACTAGACGTAAAGTAGCCAATGAACAGAGAAGACAAAAGTAGCCTATGAACAGACTAGACGTAAAGTAGCCAATGAACAGAGAAGACAAACGTAGCCTATGAACAGACTAGACGTAAAGTAGCCAATGAACAGACAAGACGTAAAGTAACCTTTGAACAGAAAAGAATTAAAGAGGCCAATGAACTTAGTAGACCTAAAGTAGCTAGTAGACCTAAAGTAGCCAATGAACTTGTTTGATGCAAAGTAACTAATGAACTAAGTAGACGTACATATAAAATAGCAAATGAACAGATTAGACTTTGTCCCTTTATCACCTGTTACCATAAGTAATGACATTCCTTGTTTTATCAGAATTAGAGCGTTGACCTTCCCATCTAGTACATAGAGGATATTCAATGTTTTGTAGTTGAATATGGAATTTATTTCACGAGTGGGACAGGATTTTTTTTTATATTTTCACGAGTACGAAATGCGAAGCACGAGTGAAAATATCCAAATTC